AGTGGTGGGGACAGCTGGCTAAACATGCAGCTGGCTCCCTGGCAGCCTAGTAGTAGTAGGCCTGAGTGGACCAGTTCTTGGGCCTCCAGGTGGCTTGCTTGGGTGCTGGCAGTGGCAGGAATGGGCCAGATGGGTGTCAGGTCCTCAGGCCTGACATGGACACCAGCAGTTGCGGTGGTGGGCCAAACTGGCCAATCCCCAGGCCCCCAGGTAGCACACATGTGTGGGTGCCAGTGCCAGTGGCAGGTTGGGCAGGCCAGTACCAAGGTCTTCAGTAAATCCACATGGGTGGGAGTGATGGGCAGGACAAGTCTATTCTCAGGCCCCTGAAAGGCATGCATAAGTGCCAATGGTGTCAGGCAGGGCAGAACAATCTCCAGACCCCTGAAGGTTATATGTGAGCGTCAGTAGTAGCAGGTGGGGCAGATCAATCTCCAGGCCGCTGAACAACATGTATATACATTAGCAACGGCAGTTGGGGTGAGTTGATCCCTAGGCTTCTAAATGATGCATGCAGGCACTGGTGAAGGTGGAGGTAGGCAGGTCTGACCTGTCCTTATGACTCCAATGGTGCGTATAGGTGCCAGTTGCACGGGTCCTTAGACAACCCAGTGCCTGGGTCCTTAGACAACATTCTGGGGCACTGGTGTTGGTGGTGGCAGTGGACAGGTCAGACCCATCCTCAGGCCCTCTGATGGTGTACATGGGCACTGGCAGTGGTGAGCAGGGCAGGTGGATCCCCAGGCCTCCAAACAAAAAATGCGTGCAGGCTCAACTGGTGCAAGCTGTAGATTGGGTATAACCTCAGGTCCTCCCATGGTGTGTATGGCCACTGGCTGTGGTGGGTGGAGCAAATTGATCCCTGTGCTCCCGAACCCATTTTTTCATTAAGCTGCTTGGCTCAGGTTTAAGTTTTCTGTATATTCTGGATATTAATATTTTATCAGATATGATTTGAAAATATTTTCTTCTATCCTGTGGATTGTCTTTTTATTCTATTAATAAGGACCTATGATGCACAGAAGTTTTTAATTTTAATGAAAGCTATTTTTCCTTTTGTTGCCTGGGACTTTGGTGTCATATCCAAAAAATCATTGCTAAATCCAATGTCATTAACATTTTTCTTTATGTTTTCTTCTAAGAGTTTTGTCATTTAGCTCTTGACATTTCAGGAATTCACTATTGATAACACCCAACAGCTTGGTTGGATGCTGGGTTAAATAGCCACTTTCAAAGCATGGGATACTGTATGATTCCATTTCTATAACATTTTAGGGGTGACAAATTGTAATAGAAAACAGATAAGTGGTTTTTATTGGTTAGGATATGTGGGCAGTTGTGAATCTTAAGTGGTAACATGATGGAGTTTCTTCTATGTGATGTATTCACTCTTGTGTCCTATTTGTGGTGGTAATTGCGTGAATCTACACATGTGATAAAGTTTTACAGAACTATGCTAAATAAATAAATAAAAGAGTGCCTGGAAAACTTGGTGAAATCTGAATAAGGTCTGTACCCAAGTTAATAATGTTGTATCAGCATCAGTTTCCTGGTTTTGACAATGCATTAGGATTATATAAACTATTGCCACTGGGAAAAGCTGGGGAAAGGTTACATGGAAACTTCTTGTGAGTCAAACAATTTTGAAATAAAGTAATTTAAAATCCTCTTTAAAAATCTCTTCAATATTTGGCTATTGTACTAAGAATAAAATCTAACCTATTTTCCAAAGCATACAGTGCTTAGCATGATGTAGCCCTTGCCTATCTTTTTTCTTACCTTAACTACTTACTAGTCTCCCCCTTCCACTATACACGAGCCATCATTTTCCTGTCAATACCTTAAACATAATAACGCCTCTCTTACCTCAGGGACTTTGTAACTGTTGTTCTTTCTGTCTAGAATGCTCTTATCACAGCTGTCTCATGAAAGATACATACTCTCCTCTAGGTGGTAAGATTTTTTCATTATTCGTTCAACAAATATTTATAAATGCAGGTTTGAGAGGCAAAGCCTCAAGGCAGCAGTGTAGTTTTGAACATATTGGTTTGAAGTGCTTCTGAGACAACTGTAAGTCACGATTAAGAATCTAATTAGATCCACTAATCTAGAACTAGATATAAAATTGGGAAATGGCTTACAATTTGATGAGTTGTACAGGAATTGGTTAGTACTTGAAGCCATGTGAGTGAAATCAGATCACCTAGGAAGAGAATATATTCTGAGAAGAAGGGCCTAAGGCCAGACCCTGGGAACCATTAATACAGCAGGAGGGAGTGGTAGCATGGAAGCCACGTAAAAGTGTTTCAAATGGGAAGATTCATCCAATGTATCAAATGCTGCTAAAACATCGGGTAAGATTAACAGAACAATGTTTATTAAATTTAACAGCAGGTATAGCCATATATTGATGCTATAACTAGAAAAATACTTTTAAAAATAATTATACAGGCTAGGCATGGTAGTTCACACCTATAATCCCAGCACTTTGGGAGGCTCAGGCAGGAGGAATTGCTTGAGGCCAAGAGTTCAAGACCAGCCTGAGAAACATAGCAAAACCCCATCTGTACAAAAAAATACCAAAATTAGCCAGGCGTGGTGGCACACACTTGTTGTCCCAGCTACTCGGGAGGCTGAGGTAGGAAGATTCCTTAAGCCTGAAAGGCAGAGGTTGCAGGGAGCTGTGATCGAGCCACTGTGCTCCAGCCTGGGTGGCAGAGTAAGACCTTGTCTCAAATGATAATAACACAAAGATTAGCAGTAATGTAATTGTTCTGTCATAGATCACTAGAAATAATGTAAGTTGATATAATTCTTTTATAAATTATTTTGGTAATATGTATCAAGAGAGTTTTGTTTGTTGTTTTTAGAGATGGGGGTCTCACTCTATTACTCAGGCTGGAGTGCAGTAGTGTGATTATAGCTCACTGCAGCCTTAAACTCCTGGGCTTACATGATCTTCTTGCCTCAGCCTCCTGAGTAGCTGGATCTACAGGTGTGCACCACCATGCCAGGCTAAAAGAGGTGTTTTTTTGTTTGTTTGTTTTGGAGACAGAGTCTCTCTGTTGCACAGCCTGGAGTGCAGTGGCATGATCTCGGCTTACTGCAACCTCTGCCTCCTGAGTTCAAGTGATTCTCCTGCCTCAGCCTCCCGAGTAGCTGGGACTACAGGTGTGAGCCATCAGGCCCAGCTATTTTTTATATTTTTAGTAGAGACAGAGTTTCACCATGTTGGCCAGGGTGGTCTCAAACTCATGACCTCAGGTGATCCACCTGCCTTGGCCCCCCAAGTGCTGGGATTACAGGTGTTGAGCCACTGTGCCCGGCCTGAAAGAGCTTTTAAAGTGTGTATAACTTTTGACCTAGCAATCACACTTCCAAGAATCTTATCAAAAGAAATAGTCCTAACCATGGAAAAGACTGTATATCTGATAATGTTCCTAGTAATAATATTTACCAATAGTGAAAAAATAAAACCACCAAAATGTCCAATACAGAAGAATTAAGCAAATGATGATAATTCACTCAGTGAAAAATTATGCAGACATTGAAAATGATGTTTACAGACAACAGGAATGTAAAACAGTAGCCTGACCTTGGTAAAGCTGAAGAAAATGCTAATGTGGTTTTTGCCTTTTTGATAATTTCTATGTGTTATTTTTTCCATGTTTATAAAATTATCTTTAATGAGCATGAATTACTTTCTTAATCAAAAATATATATTTTTAAGCTTGTTTATATGATTATTTTAACTTTTCTTGATATTTTTCCTACAATCTTCTTATATGTGTAATTTATTATATGTTACTTCCATCTTACTCTTTTCTACATTAAGAATGCTTTATTTACTCTTTCCTCAGCAGTTATGCAAAAGATAGTTGTATTTAAAATTCTGAATAGTGAATATGATTTTCAGAAACAAAACTATATTATTTTTTATTAGGTAAACCTATATTTCTCTATGAAAATCATCAAATGGGCTAGGTACGGTGGCTCACGCCTGTAATCCCAGCACTTTGGGAAGTGGAGGCAGGTGGATCAGCTGAGGTCAGGAGTTCGAGACCACCCTGACCAACATGATGAAACCTTGACTCTACTGAGTTAAAAATATATATATATTAGCAGGGCATGGTGGTGTGTGCCTGTAATCCCAGCTACTTGAGAGGCTGAGGCAGGAGAATTGCTTGATCCTGGGAGGCAGAGGTTGCAGTGAGCCAGATTGTGTACTCCAGTCTGGGCAACAGAGTGAAACTCTGTCTCAAAAAAAAAAAAAAAAATTATCAAATGAGTATTCTTCATAAAGGCCTTCCCTGACCATTATTCCTACTTCTCAAAGTAGGTTCTACTATCAGATAATTCCATAGTCCCCATAACTGCCCCTTCTGACACTCATGATAACAACCTTTAAGGTTCCTTTGTGGAAGGATGCCATGTTTTTAGAAAATTAAACAAAGTCAGTATTAGAGGATTAGGACAGAAAGAAGCTATGGAATTCTAGACTAGCCCTCATCATCTGATTTTTTAATTCTAGAAATTTCATAGGGGAGCTTTTCAGATCCATCTGATTTCTAAGAGCATTTTTCTTAAAAGTCCCCCAGATATCATTTGAAACCTGCCTTGAAAGAGTATGTCATTTTGAAGGTAAATTCATGTAGAAAGAATTCTAACAGATTAGTTTTAGAAACTCTACTATGTATTTCATTGAGATTAAAACTAGCGTTATTTATTTAATCATCCCCATAGTTTCAGTTCATTCAGGATTCTGATTATGTGTAGAGTTTTTGATGAGTTGGAAACTGTATTATGACTTATTTATAATTCACAAAATTCGCATGGGAAGGAAGCTATAAGGTAGAAAGAACAAAGCTGAATCTTGAGCATGTGGTAAATTTACAAATGTAAACAATGTCTTAACTAAAATAACAAATTCAATATACATGCTGTAATATCAGAATAGCTATGAAAAGAGTAAAAAATGAAATTATATTTTGTTTTTACAGAATTCCGAAGTACTCAGCACACAGATGGCCACACTGGGGCAGAAGCCTACCATATATACAATTCTGAAGAGAAAAGTTTATTTATCAAATGAGAAAATGAAAAAAGGGTATTTAATTTTTTTAATTTTAAATATAAAAAATACAAAAACTTAAACTAGATTTTAAAATCCTAGTGGAACTTTATAGAATATGTCTCATATGTTATTTTCAAGTGCCTTGTTTTATAAAACACAAAAGATTTTGATAATCAGAGCTAACTACTAACTCAGAAAATGCTAGACTCTTGGATTCAAGTTTTACATTTGCGTCAATACCTAATCCTAAATCCAATAGCTTCATTCGGGATGATGGCAAATCCTGGAAATATCTCAAACTGTGTTCTACTGGTTTATAAAAGTGAACCACAGTGGTGTCCGGTGCCCATACACCGCCCCCCCACCCCCGCACACAAATTCTATCTGAGAGGCAAAATACATTACTGTCAAAGTTAGTAGGTTATCATGAGGTATAGACAGACTTTCTTAGTCTATTAAGCACCTAGGCACAGGGCAAGGTGCTTATAACTAAAGGATAAAGTACCTGCCTTCAGTAGTCTTACGTTTAGTGTGAGAGACAAATGAGAAACGGATATTATGTAGGAGTGAGCCCGGGGTACAGAGGAACACAAAGAGGGTACACCACCTCTGGCCTGGAGGAGAGGGAGTCAGGGAGGACTTTCCTAAAAAGGTGAAAAGAAGTAAAACCTAGCCAACTGGGGGAGGATTCCAAACCTAGGAAATGACAAACAGCAGGTCCTCAAATAATGTTCATTATAACATTGATTAGAAAAAAATTGATTCCCGGCTGGGGCCACTGCTGTATGGAGTTTGCATGCTCTCTCCGTGTCTTTGTGGGTTTTCTCCAGGTATTCTGGTTTCCTCCCACATCCCAAAGCTGTGCACTTGAAGTTCATTGGTGTGTCTGCATGGTCCCAGTTGGAGTTTGTGTGGGTGTGAATGTCAATGTTCTGCTCTACGATGGGAAAGGCGTCCTGTCCGGAGTGGGCTCCTGCCTTGAGCCCTGAGCTGCCAGAATGGACTCTGGCCAACCACAACCCTGAACTGGAATAAGCAGGTTAGAAAATGAACAATTGGAGGGATGAATACAAACTATTGTAAAATAAAAATGTGTAAAGTAGACAAGACTCTGACATGACAAAAAAGTAAACAGTGCTGTAGGAAAGTTCTCAGAGAGCTGCCATATTTGTGATGGTTGAGTTTTGGACTGTGTAACGATAGGAGGCGTTTCTTAACAACATGGCAAGCATTCATTTCTTGATTTATCCCACCATCACTATGATCACCCTCACTCACTGATTCACCAAGAGTTGGGCAAATAATTAATTTTATTAATCTTTCTTAAATGTATGTGTATAGCTCACATTTATTGCAGTGTTTAATAGCAGTGTTTTGGGTCTTTATTTAGAAGTTTGGTGATGTTTTCTTGACCAGAAATATGTTGTAGGAACTTAACTCTTGTTTATATCAATTAGCCAGTGGTAAAATTGGTTTCATTACATGTAGTTTCTCTTGAAGTTGCAGTTTCTAAGAACCTATTACATTAAGTGAGAACTTACTGTATACAGGGCCCTTCAAACTGAGACCTGAGAAAAGAGATGCATTTTGGAGATGGAAAAAAATGTTCAATTCATGGGTAGAGAGAAAGGAGTGCCATTTAGGAGGATAAAACATTTTAAAATAGTAATAATAGTTTGAAGCTGAAATTCTGATTTTATAAAACAGGAGGTTGGAGGGTAGAGAGGCAGGAAAAAATTACTATAGATTCAAACTAAAGTGTCTGATTTAGCAGGAAGGTAGGAAGGTTATAGATAACATTGGTTTCTTTTCTATTTTGAACTGCTTTATTGAACTATAGTTTACACATCATACAATTTACCCTTTTAAATGATAAAATTCAGTGGTTTTAGTATGTTCAGCTATGCCACTATCACCATTATCTATCTAGAACATCTTTAACTACCCAAAAAAGAAATCCCATTTGCTCTTCCCTCCAGCCCCTGGCACTACTAATCTATTTTGTGTCTCTATGGATTTGCCTATTCTGGATAATTCATATCAAGAAAATCATACCATCTATTCTTTGGAAACTGGCTTTTTTCAGTTAACATTATGTTTTCAAGGTTCATTCATTCCTTTTTATTGTCAGATACTATTATACGAATACACAACATTTTATTTATTCACTTCTCTGTTGATGAATATTTTAGTTATTTCCATTTTTGGGCTAATATGAATAATGCTGCTATGAACATTTGTGTATAAGTTTTTGTGTGGCCATATGCTTTTATTTCTCTTGAGTGTATACCTAGGAGTGAAATTATTGGATCATATATTATGTCTGTGTTTAATTTTGAGAAATTGCCAGGCTGTTTTTTAAACCAGCTGCACCATGTTAATACTTTCATTCCTGGTGTATGAGGATTGCAGTTTCTCCACATCTTCACCAACACTTGTTATTATCTGTTTTGTTTTGTTTTTACCCATTATAGCCATCCAAGTGGGTATGAAGTGGTCCTTCATTGTGGTTTTGTATTTCTCTCATGTCTAATGATGTTGAGCATATTTTCATATGCTTATTGTCTGTTTGTATATTTTCTTTTCAGATCCTTTCCCATATTATAATTGAGTTGTCTTTTTATTATTGAGCTCTAAGAAAAGCTTTTTTAAAATAATAATAATTATTTTTTTTTGGAAACAGTTTCACTCTTGTCACCCAGGCTGCAGTGCAATGGTGCGATCTCAGCTCACAGCAACCTCTGCCTCCCAGGTTCAAGCAATTCTCCTGCCCCAGCTTCCCGAGTAGCTAGGATTACTGGTGCGTGCCGCCAGTTCCTGGCAATTTTTGTATTTTTAGTAGAGACAGGATTTCACCATGTTGGCCAGGCTGGTCTGGAACTCCTGACCTCAGGTGATCCACCCGCCTCAGCCTCTCAAAGTGCTGGGATTACAGGCATGAGCCACCACGCCTGGCCCTAAGAGTTCTTTATATTCTAGATGATTTGCAAAAATTGTCTCCCATTCTGTGAATTATCTTTTCAGGTTCTTCATGATCTCCTTATAGCACAAAAGTTTTACATTTTTATGAACTCCTAATTACCTATTTTTTTTCTTTGGTTCTGTGTGCTTTGGGTGTCATATCAGAGAACCATTGACAAATCCAAAGTCACAAAGTACCACACTGTTTTTTTACCTGTGCGTATTATAATTTTAGCTCTTAAGTCTTTGGTCTATTTTGAGTTTATATTTGGTCTAAATTTACAGTGAGTTCATTTTATGGTAGGGGTCCAAATGAATTCTTTTTTTTTTTTTTAATTGTACTTTAGGTTCTGGGGTACATGTGCAGATCATTCAGGATTGTTGCGTAGGTACACACATGGCAATGTGGTTTGCTGCCTCCATCCCCCCATCACCTACATCTGGCATTTCTCCCCATGTTATCTGGAGATCTAGTTGTCCCAGCATAATTTGTTGAAAAGACTATGGTTCCCTTATTGTTTTGCACTCTTGTTGAAAGTCATTTAACAGTGAATGTGACAGTATATTTCTGGATTTTCAAATTCTATTCCATTTCCCTACATATTCATCCTTATGCCAATACCACATTGTCTTGATTACTGCAGCTTAGTATTAAGTTTTAAAGTCAGGAATTGTTAGTCCTCCAACTTTGTTCTTCTTTTTCAAGATTGCTTTGGCTGCACTTTTTAACTGACTTAACTTTTTAAGTCAATTTTAAAGTTTGTCAATTTCTTCAAGGAAGTCAGCTGGGATTTTGTAAGTGATTGTGCTGGATCTGTAGCTCAATTTGAGGAGTATATCATCTTAACAATAGGAAGTCTTCCCATTCATGAACATGGGATGTCTTTCCATTTATTTAGATGTTGTTTACCTTCTTTCAACAATGTTGTATAGTTTTGTGAATAAAGTTTTTTATTTCTTTCACTCATTTCCTAATTATTTTATCCTTTGTGATGCAGTTGAAAATGGAATTGGTTTCTTAATTTCTGGACTGTTCATTGCAAGTGTATACAAATACAATTGGTTTTTCTATATCAATCTGATATCCTGAAATCTTGCTAAACTTGTTCATTAGTTCTAATCATTTTTTGTGGACTCCTTGGGATTTTCTGTATACAAAATCATGTCATTGGTGAATAGGGATAGTTTTACTTCCTCATTTCCAATCTGGATGCTATTTATTTCTTTTTCTTCTCTAATTGGCCTGACTAGAACCTCTAGTATAAAATGTTGAATATAAATGGTCAAAACCGATATTCTTGTGTTGTTCCTAATATTAAAGAGAAAGCATTCAGTCTTTTACCATTAAGTATGATGTTAGTTGTGAGTTTTTCATATATTCCCTTCATTAGGTTGAGGAAATTCCCTTCAGTTCCTAGTTTTTTTAAGTGTCTTCATCATGAAGGGGTATTGGTTTTTCAAAAGCTTTTACTGAATCTAAGTGATCATGTGGTTTTTGGTCATTTACATTAATTGATTTTTGGATGTTAAACCCATGTTGCATTCCTGGCATAAGTCTTCCTTGGTCATGGTGTATAACCCTATTTATATGTCACTAGATGCAGTTTCCTAGTGTTTTGTTGAGGATTTTGCATCTATATTCATAAGAGATGTTGGTATGTTGTTTTCTTCTCTTGTGAAATTTTGTCTGATTTTGGTATTAGGGTAATGCTGGCTTCATAGAATGAGTTGGACATATTCCCTCCTGCTCTATTTTTTGGCGGAATTTGTGAAGGATTGGTATTAATTCTTTAAATGTTTGGTAGAATTCATCCATGAGGCCATCTTGGTCTGTGAATAGGATTTCTTTTCTTTCTTTTTTTTTTGAGTCAGAGTTTTGCTCTTGTTGCTCAGACTGGAGTGCAATGGCACGGTCTTGGCTCACCACAACTTCCACCTCCTGGGTTCAGATGATTCTTCTGCCTCAGCCTCCCGAGTAGCTGGGATTACAGGCATGCGCCACCACACCTGGCTAATTTTGTATTTTTAATAGAGATGGAGTTTCTCCATGTTGGTCAGGCTAGTCTCAAACT